GGGCGCCGACACCTCCGCTCTCCCAGCGGTGCCGGACACGCCGCAAACACTGCGAAGCCGCCAGGGGCAGGCGAGCAGGCCCCGGAGATGCGGTGCGCAGCGCACGACTGCGGTCAGCGGCATGTACTGGAAACGTCAAAGTTCTAAGAGGCAAGATCTCAATACATCTCCCCTCGAAGAGAAACGACGGTTACGAGGTGTGGCAGAACGTCAGCCAGCACGAGAGTGGCTTCCTATTTCAATACACAAATGTACCAAACTGACACGCGGTGCACCTTCAGCCAGCACATGCGCTATGTCAACTACGTCTCAGAAATCAACTAATCAATTAATTTAAAAATAAACGAACCAACAACAGCTGCCCTGCCCGAGCTCACGGGCATCCCAGCTCAGCAGACACACAATGACCCTCACGCACCTGTGGGTGCGCCCAACGTGCGCTGGGAGTGAAGGCTCAGAGAGAAATAAAGGCGATTGTGGGGCCCGTTCACCAGGTCTGGGCTCGCAGACGACAAGCACCATTTTTTTTGCTGCCCTTTGATCTGCCGCATAAACACGAAAGAACCATGTCTTCCCTACTGTGGGCAAAGCCGCCTTCTCTCTACTAGGGGAAGTTTCATATGTAAACAGAAACCAGATAAAGCAAAACCAAACCGTCGGCGTCAACAACAGCCCTGTTTATCAGTCTGGGAAGGAAGAGGGTACACTCCGCTCCCTGCCCACCCAGCCCCACCTCGCTCCTAGAAGGAAATTCTTTCCTTTATGGTTTTTCAACTATCTGGAAAGTATTAACCATTTTAAATCCCCCCTGCAATGGAATAAGAATAAGGTTTTTTATTAACCCCAGGTTCAGATACATACATCTCCACCCACGGGAATGTTAATGCATTAGCTGCACACTGTTTTGTTTGGAGAGAGGAAACCCTGCCAGTGGTCTTCAGGAAGAGCATGGAATCCATTTAATAAATTACACATTCAGAAAGACTTCGGGTCCTGTGACATTCCCAGAATAGTTTGCCCATATTTTTCAAATCAGTCAGACTATTTCTTCAAAACATCTGGCGGAACAGATTCTAAACTCCGACCATCTCTCAAAGAGGAAATGCTTCTGTGAACTCACTGGGTTCTTGAAAATGGAAGTAGAGACACCAGGACAGAGTGGTCACCTCCTGCACTGGGGGCCCAGGACACGTGTTTGCAGAACCGAGCTCCAGGCTGCACCCCGTCCTCCGGCCTGAGGGCAGCAGGGGCCGCTCTTGCCAGAGGAAGGGGCACCTTTTCCTTCCCACCGAGACCCAGAGAATCAGCCATGTTTACATGGGTGAATTAGGGAAATGGAGAGAGAGAGAAGGTTTCACTCAGAGCTTGTGCCTTGGTCTGGCCTTTCTGAAACCGTGAGACACGCGGAGGCGGTGGGCTGCACCTGTCGGGGTGGAGGAGGGCTCTCTGTGACTCCCAGGGACCCCAGCTCACAGCAGACTGGCTCTGGCTCTGTGCGTGGGGA